ACTTCCTATTAATATTAATGCATTTGGAAGACCTTACTTTGCTGTTTACTATATCCAAAAAAACACCTGCTCAGCACAAAGGGGCAAAATTAAAATGCTTTTATTCATCAGACGTGAAAGCCGGGCTCAGCTTCAAACAGGTGGTGCCATGTTTTTAATCTGCTTCAGCCACAGGAAGTAAAGGTATTTTAATTTTCACAATGACAGGGAGGATTGGTTATTTTTAACATGGAAATATTAGTTTTGACTGAGTGTTACGGTCATCTATCCACTTTAAAAGTTGGTATTTATAAATTAAACGGAAGGGAGATTAGCATGCTAGCTTGGTGATGCACATGCAGTGTGCGGCTAGCGTTAGCACTAAATACTGCCGTGCAAACACAAGACTGGACAGTATTATGACTCAAATGTAGGTTTATGTGTTTCAGAGAACATAAAGTGAATTGAAATTCACGAGTACAATGAAAAGAAGTGCTTTCTCCTTTGTCATTATATAGCTTAGCTGGGCTATAAATGAGAAGCAAAATGTGATTATATTTTATTTAACTTCTTAGACGTCTTTTAGGCCTCAAAACAGAAAACTTGTTGAGCAGGTAAAGGTGAATAGTGAATGTTTGGGATAAGCTTGAGTGAAAGCCTTTGTTCAAGCCTAAAAAGGTGATTAATCAACTTTCTTCCCCCCCACCCAAATTTTAGATATAAAGGGAAGCCTTTGTAAATACCATTAGCGAAAATGTTACCTTGCATATATGTACATTTGATCTTGTATAATATTATTGTTCTTTGGTTATACTGGATCTATTTATTCTTGCTCTGTCCAATCTACTGCTGTAATGATATGAATGTACCTATCTACCTATCATTTATGGGACCAATACAGGATATCTTAACTTATCTGATCTTATCTTAAAATGATTAAAAAAAAATTAGCTTTTTAGATAATTTGACATTTTATTTTTTCGTCTGATACGATAGCAACCGGTTCTTACAGATCACCCTTTTTTAGAGACAGAAAACAGTACTTAAAACAGACTTTTCAAAGGCAGGTAATACTTGTATGTACGGCTTTCATGTACAACAGTGACTTGCAATTGTAAGAAGTCATGTGGTCTAAGTGAAGTGCGACAGGAATGCTGTTGCGTTTTGGTGAAACAGGTTTAATCCTCCATTTTCTTGGTGCTGCTGGCTGTAAGATTTCTCCTT